CTTAGTGAACATTAAATTACATGAACTTGTTGCCTAGTAGTTTAGTGACCATTAAAGTGCTAGAGCTAGGATCGATCAAATCTTAGATAAGTAATGAACGTAACTAATTTAGTTGTGCTAGAGAACATAAATTGTGACCACAATTGTGTTTAGTTTGATTAATCTTACATAGATTTTCTACATCTTATAACTGATTATGTGTTTGCTAATGTATGACTATACATAGTTTTACATGAATTAGTGAAATTATTAGTAAATTTGGACTTGAATTGCTAAGAAAATAATAATTGATTACCAACATTAATAATCCATAATCAGTAGCTAACCATAGAGATGAAGCGGATTTGAACTAAATGTAAGTGTTTTGAGTAATTGATTAAATTGTTAGTTAAAGAGATAAGTTTGTTTGAACTTGCAAAATTAGATAAAAAAAAAACCAATTAAACTTTTGCTTGTTTTTAGGTTAGGTTTTAGTAGTTAATTTTAGTTAATTAAATATGTTCCCTATGTTCGATACCTGTCTATTGAGCTATATTATTTTCAAAAAGGTACACCGCCTTAGGTAAAAATTAATTTCATTAGTAGAATAAACTAGTGCATAATTATTTAAGCATCAGTGCACGCTACACCCTTTCATCGACGTCTCTCCTCCGAAATGTTGCCATATGTCGATTTCTTGCTGGTCTGCGTAGCCACCTCCTACAAGCTTGTGTCTCACTTCTCTACGTGTCGCGCAAAGCGTAAATTTTGTAACTTCTTCATATGAACTTTGTTTTCGACGTTTTTTTTTTTTATCTCCACGTGTAGAATATACTACGACTTTTAATTGTGTCGCACTTAAGGAAGTCAGTAAAACATACTACGACTTTAATTAGAATTCGTTGATTAATTCTCAATTTATCTTTAAAGTTATATTTTTAACAGGGTTATACTATTAAAGCCCGTATAAAAATCATAAGTCTTTCATATGACATCCTTTCTTAGCCGTCTTTATATCTACGAACTTCTAATCACGAGATGTTCAACTCTCGTTTAGATTGTTTTGCCTAACAATCCACCGATCTAAAATTTGGTTTTTGTGTCGCACAGTGTTATATTAAAACTTCTAAAAATTATAATTTCTTCCTACGAAGTTAGATTTAGGCGTTCTTTATATGCACACTCTCACTTTTACAACTACTATGAATTTCATCAAGATTATTTATCCTAAATGAGCATTCTAAAGTATGTTTTACTACATCCAGGTTTTACTATTATTGCAACCTACTTTCAAAACTATGACTATGAACTTAAGAGTGATAGGATTACCAACCTTTCAAGTATAATCATATATACTTGTAGTCTACTTGAAGATATAGAACTTTTGTAATCACTTGGAAGGACTGACACCCAAAGTAAAATGCATCTAATGGCTTATACCTAAAAGTCTAAAATCCTAGAATATTTAGGAGATATGAGAGAGGTTGGTAAGATCCAAAATTCTCAACCTTATGAGAGGTTCAATCGATTTTCTCAAAAGCCCGAGGGTTCTATTTATAGTTGAGACAACTTGTATACAGAATTTATTTGAATCAATTAAATAATCAGATTTAATCCATATTTAAATCTTTTCCTTACCGGTTACTTGAAACAATTCTAGAAGGATTCTAGAGCCTCTAAACCGTCCACCCCCTTCAGGGTTAGATTGTTAAAACCCGTATAAAAATCATAAGTCTTTCATATGACATCCTTTCTTAGCAGTCTTTATATCTACGAACTTCTAATCACGAGATCTTCAACTCTCGTTTAGATTATTTTGCCTAACAATCGACCGATCTAAATTTTGGTTTTTGTGTCGCACAGTGTTATACTGAAACTTCTAAAAATCATAATTTATTCATACGAAGTTAGATTTAGGCGTTCTTTATATGCACACTCTCACTTTTACAACTACTATGAATTTCATCAAGACTATTTATCCTAAATAGTCATCTATCAAAAAGGTCTATTTACGTAACTAGTCGTCTATACTGTAAGTCGGAAATGGGATGTTACGACAACGCACGCTCCAGAAATAGGAAAAAAAAAAGAATAATGTGCATTGTTCATAGGTTATCAACTATTCACATTTTTATAAAATAACTAAGAACATGAATTTTGTTTTTAGTAGTTTTATATGTTATATTTTTAACGAGGTATTGTCCTATCAAACCCTTTCAGTGGTCGATAATACACCACACAAAGAACTGGTGAGTGAAAAGGACATTCATTTAATGGTCATTGTATAGGTCGTTTCCTTACACATCTTTAATAGTATGACTTCATAAATTAGAGATAATCTTGATTTTACTAACGATCATTAATTAAACATGTGATGACACATGTTGTATTATGCTTGTACATATAGTAATCGTATTACATATATAAATGCTTGTGGTATTTACATATTCTTTTATGAACTTTTATAATTATATGAAGACAAAATTTTCATCAATTTAAAATTATATGGTTTAAACAAATTATGTTTAATGAACTTTTAATTAATTAATTTTAAATCATTATCTACAATTTCAAATTACTCAAATGTATTTATCCTCTTAGTTTAATTATTCAGTTTTAATAGATTAAAATAATATTTAAAACTAAAGATAAACCCTAAAATTTGAACTTATAACAAAAATCCTGAAATATGCTAATTAACAGAAAGCGCGCCACATCCAGGTCTGGGCGCTGCACGTCCTGGGAGCCGCACGTCCTGGGACTAGCAGGTTTCTTCGATATATCTCAATTTTTTCAAGTAATGTTCATAACTAAACCTAATGGATCTGATACCACTGGTTTGGTTTCTATGCATCTTTACACTAGATTTAGGCAACGAAAGCATTCAAATATAATCCTAACTGTACATGCACCCTAGATCTAGGTTTTACTATTATTGCAACCTACTTTCAAAACTATGACTATGAACTTCAGAGTGATAGGATTACCAACCTTTCAAGTATAATCATATATACTTGTAGTCCACTTGAAGTTATAGAACTTTTGTAATCACTTGGAAGGACTGACACCCAAAGTAAAATGCATCTAATGGCTTATACCTAAAAGTCTAAAACCCTAGAATATTTAGGAGATATGAGAGAGGTTGGTAAGATCCAAAATTCTCAACCTTATGAGAGGTTCAATCGATTTTCTCAAAAGCCCGAGGTTTCTATTTATAGTTGAGACAACTTGTATACAGAATTGATTTGAATCAATTAAATAATCAGATTTAATCCGTATTTAAATCTTTTCCTTACCGGTTACCTAAAACAATTCTAGAAGGCTTCTAGAGCCTCCAAAACCATCCACCCCTTTTAGGGTTTTTAGAATGCTCATTTTGCTCAACCATTGAATAATTAACATTCAATCCCTACACCTTTAATTAAATTCAGATTAATTCTAATTAATTACAAATTAATTCAAATTAGTTCTAAATTGATTTTAACAAGTTTCTAATTAATTTATCAATCCATGATAAATTAATAAAATATTTATCTCACCCTTTTATAACCTTTTCTAGCTATTTTAGCTATTGAGGGCAACTTAGGATTTTGTTATTATACCAGAAGTTATATTAGTTTAGTTATTGACATTGGATACCTATTTTCAATAAAGAAAACATGACAACCCAATTTTCCATAGAAGCTACTTTACGAAAGGTTCATACATCCCAAAAATATGATGATATGCCTCAAATTGAAGCCATGCTTGCACCTTTGGAAGCTGAGCTCAAGTTGGCTACAAATGAGTTAGAGAATTTCTATTTTTTAAGATAGGTAGGAAAGATTTGAACTTACATTGTTGTCCTTTGAATTTCAGATTGCAAAGTTGCAAGATGACAACAAAGCATTGGATCCGTTGATTAAATCAAGAGGTTGATTTACTTGAAGTTAAGAGGATAGTAATATTGCTTTGGCAAAAGCATCACTATGTTTAGTTACCTCTGTCCCATGTGAAGCATGAGTGTATTATTTGTATGAAGTATGTACTTATAGAAGTAAAAAAGATAAAAATAATATAATAATCACTATGTTTTTTTATATTTTATATTTATGCCATTTTGACGACTTAATTTTTTTAATATGTTTTAATACAAATATTTATTTTGTATTTTGGATGTATAAGATAGCAAATCAATAAATAATAAATAAATAAATATAAAGTATAATTAAAGGGATAAATTGACAATATTATTAAGATGATAAACAAATAAATGGACGAAAATTATTAAATGGTAATGGATAGTAACAAAATATATTATTCATTTCATAAAATATCTCATCCAATATTTTTTAAAGGGTTTTTTTTTTATTTATAGAAAAGCGATTTTAATGTTTCATTTTGTGTTTATAAATTATTGAGAGAAATGCGAACTGATTCGTACACAACAGTTTTTCTCGGTACATAACAATTTGTGTTTTAAAATATTGTATTATACAACTTTATAAAACTTAAATTGTTGTGTATATAGAAGAATTGTTGTGTACGAATTACTTCTGTAGAGAAATGTATGAGGAAATCTATTTATCCATTGTATATTTGAAGTATAAGTGTTTTTTCTTAAAACTACACGTGTGAAAGTAAATATGGTTTTTCATTTCACTATTTATCAAGTAAGAAACAACAACTAGAAATTTAAATATGGTAAGCGGATGTGTAGATATAGAAAGTTTGAATACAATATGGTAGAAGGATCGGACCACAAAAGAGATCTCCAACATGTGCAAAAATAGAACATGTCATAGTGGCAAATATCGAGAGAGTAAATCAAGGTGATATACATGAGTAAATAATAGTTCAAGTATATGTATCCGGAACGTGCACATAAGGCAAAAACAAAAGGAGAGTTAATCAATGTGAGTAGGAAACATGTATCCACAATAAATATTAGAAAATCAAAACATATAAGGAGTACAAACTACTCATCAAACAAGAAACGTAATAATTATATTATAACATCATTAATCTTTTGAGCTATGTATGCACGATAAAATTTAAACTTATCCATCCTTATCCGAGAACAATTGGACAATACATAGCTAGATATCACACAGCTAAAAACAAGGCAAACTCAACTATACACGATGAAATTACAAAACTTAATTCTTGGATGATCCATCCTTATTCGAAAACAATTGGACAACACTTAGAAAGATATTACACATCTAAAAACAAGGCAAACTCAACTAACTGGAATCAGAAGGGGACGGGGCCATTGACAGGGAACCATCAACCATAAATTTCACTGGCACCATGGGTCCAGGTGCGCCAACATAGCCCGAGCTCCTTATCTCGCTCATCCCTCTCCTCTTGCTATCTCCTTGTGCTTGACATAAGCTCGGTAAATATACACCTTTAAATAAAACAAACAGAAATACAAAGTTGATCAAAATAAAGTCAACATTAATAAATTCAATATCATTGGTTCATTGTGCTAGAACTTTAAGGTAAGCTATATATGAGCCTTATTTTTTTGTTGAATGTAGAAACACCGACCTATATAGTGAGAAAGTCTGGAAAATAAGACTTCGCCAATCAAGTCTTAATTTATGTACAAAGTCTTTTCTTTGTGGTAACACTTAACCAAAAAAACAATAAAGAGGTGTTACCTTCGCCAACGGCAAGATTATTGTATAGATCAACAATATTCGGACAACCATTGTGACATTGAGTTGAGCAAAGTTTTTGCATGAACCGAGACTCAAGAAGGGAGTCGGAGGAGATCCCTAGGATGTTACGGTTAAGCCCACATGCATCTAGGCATTCATCAGTTTCTATCCAACTTGCTAACTTATTAGTATCTATTTGTGAGGTACTGCAAACAAACACCTCCTCCCCGCTCCTTCGGACATTCTTCTCAAGCACACATCGCTTTCCACTTGATGATACGGCAAATGCACATGAGTCCTTGTTCAAATTTTCACATGCAATACTTCCTACATACAAATTTTCATATTTTATTTACTATTCATATCATTAACGATCTTTATGCGAAAATAAAGCTTCAACAAGATATATTGTATTTACCTAGAGTGGTTTGAACAGAGAATGCGAAGATAACTACATAGACCACAAAGCTCTTGACAAAATTCAGAAAATCCATCGATAAAAGAATTTTGTGAACTGATAAAAGCTACGAACTCCTACCGAATATTGATGATAAACAAATAAATGCGATACAATTTTGTGAACTGATGATGGTTGAGTTTGGGTGTTCCTATGGTACCTATTTATAATACGAAGCATTGCTCTAGGTTCCACCATTTATGGCGAATCAATCTGATTTCATACTATAACTTCTTGGTGGCATGTGGAAATTATTTAACAAAAAGATTTTTCTTTATCTTTGATTTTTAGTTGAGTGAACAAAAAATATCATGAAAACAACTATATTTTTATTTTAATTTACCATATTGTTTTTCTCTAACAAGGAGATTTTTAAATAAAACTTAAGTAGCGATTGCGTGAGGCTAATTAAAGCCGTCCTGGTTGTATTCAAATTTTTACATTTCATAAATCATTTTGTTAATGAATTTAATCTATTGAAATACTATAACGTTAATCGACACAACACGACATGTTCTAATTATATATTTCGACTTCTTACCGGACATGTTTAATCTATCCGTTTTACCCTTTTAATGTAATATTGGACGTCATTCCATTTGTATATTCTCTTAGTTTTATTATATAAAAAAAAATGTACAACGTGTTATAATGTATATATAAAATAAATATGTATTGTGAAAAAAATCTAGACATAAATACGCAAATTGTCCTTGTGGTTAAAAGAATATACCACGAAATCCTTAAGAAGAATTTTGAACATGGATGATCCTTTAAGAAATTGAAATGTTGCATCCGAGGTTGTTATCCCTATAGCCCTTTAAAATTGTCCATTTACCCTTATTCTTTATATATATATAACCGTAAGGCTTCTAGCCCAGCGGTATCCGGTATTATCCTCATTCCCTGAGGTTAAGGGTTCAAGTTCTGTCGTGAACATAGATGGTTTTAAGGAGTATATATATATATATATATATATATATATATATATATATATATATATATATATATATATATACCCCTACTTATGGTCCTTCTTTAATCCATTGCCACCATCCTTTATCGTGGCCAACTTCATCTCTCTCTCTCTCTCTCTCTCTCTCTCTCTCTCTCTTCCAGTGTAAAAGTGGTGGAAAGAAAGCACTCTAGTGTGTAGCCTTTCATATCGTCTTTCATTTATGTTTGGGTTAATCAGAAGACGTGAGAGATGAAGAATATAATTAAGGATCAAAGAACGCCAATGAAACTCTTTTGGTAGATTAAAAAGATGTGGGAGATGAAGAAGATGATTATAGGAATTCGTCTTCTTCGATGGATTTTTTTGTTGGATTGATTTTCGAAACCATTATGATTGAGTATCCCACTTCAAACCACTATAGAGAATATGTATTATAAATTCTATTTGAGATTGTTTTGATCTTCTCCCATAACATTAATGATTAGCCCAAAATCCTTCGATTTTGTTACGATGTCATGAAATTAAGTGGAGGCTCACATTGATTTTCATAAAGTAGTATTGATAAACCCTAGAACAAGATTCTTCTTGGTGATGTCGTAGTCGATAAACCCTAGTTTGAGAGAGATATGATGGTAATACAAATGGGGATGGTCGAGGCGGACAGATTACAGATATAACAAGTTGATAGAGATCTTGGACGTTTAGAGGTGATGCAGAGGTCCAGTTCTCGGATTCGTATCTTTCTCTGTTGTAGGCTCGCGAACAGATTGGTGGTTATTCGTTGGAGCCCCAACTGAAGTGATTTTGGAGAATGTGTTTTAGACATATTCATTGTTAAAGGCGTGTGTTTGGGAATAAGATGAGATTGAGAAGTGTTGGGAGAAAAAATGGTGAAAGAAAGAGAGAGTAACGCCTACTTTGCTATTTCTTTAAACTGTAACTCTTAAAAAAAAGGCTTTTGGTAATTTCGCATGCACTTAACCTTTGTTTTACTAATAGTGCTAGGGACAAGGACATGGACATCTAGTGTAACATTTCAAACTCTCATGCACCAGCCATTTTCAAAAATCTTCATAAGGACTTGCAGTAGGATTTTTACTAACCACAAGGACCATTTATGTAATTTCATTAATTTTTTATAAACAATTAGAAAGTAGAATCCAACAAACAAGTCGACCAACAAAATACGACTTAATAATGATGACCACATAAAGACAAACATGGTGTGGCTCACCATTCATCATTATAAAATAAATCCAAAACATTTCTGATTTAATCGGAGAAATATACAAACTTGAACCAGATAGTTTTCTAAGTTGGCGAGAGTAGAGACACATAAATGATGCAGAGCTTTATTTGACGCTAGAAGGGAAAAATGACTCATCAAATACTTAAGTAGTTGTGGGTGCAAATGGAAGAAGTCCAAAAAAGAAGTCGACCAACCAAAAAATATTAGGAACTTAATGAATAGAATAATAAAAAAGATGTTGTGACTTTATGTACTGACTTAATGAATAGAATAAAAAAGATGTTGGACTTAATGAATAGAATAAATTTGTGTTACATTTTAGGGTTTCAGGCAGAAAAGTAATATTATAGGGGGGAAAATTAAATAGAAAAATCTCGAATATTTAATTTTACATGATAATTTATCATTTCCGATTAAAATAAATATACGGATTTTTTTCGTTAATTAGAGAAAAATATTAAATAACCAGAACTCTTCTATTAATTTTTAATTTTTAGAACTACAGCAAATATTTTCCCAAAATAATAAAATTTTTCATAAAACCCTACATTTTATTATTGTTATTTATCAATAATGACCGAGACAAAAATTTGAATATTGAATCACAAACATAATTTTATTTTTTAATAAATTTTTTGTTACATCAGGAAATGACTCATTGAACTGTTAGTTTTAGTTATTATCATATAATGAATTAGATGTGAGATCTGTGTATTATACGAGTTGATTAAAAAAGTTAAATATAAGGTGTAGGCATTAAGTATTTTTTAAAGTAAAATTTTGAAAAATATAAATGAAATGATGATTAAGTAATTCAATCTATACTAATAAAAATTATTATTATGTTTTAAAAAATCATGCTGAATATGAATGTGTAAAAATTAACTATTTTTAAAGTAGACTTTCGAAATAAATACAATAAATAGAATAAACCACAACGACTATTTGTGTAATTTGTCTTAATTAATCGATATTAATAAAACTAATTAATATAAATTCATAAATGGAATTCATTAATCTATCCTAATAAATAAAGACAATTTTGCCAAATGTCAACTACTTATTGAATTTAACACATGTTATTTTCTTAGAATTTTTTTTTCCACTTATCATTTTTATATATTTTTTTTCATTTTTATTTAATTTCCACCTATTAAATATCACCTCATAGTAATTAATGTGAATTAATGTATATAGTAAACCTTCCATTTGTCAATTCTTATTTCTATTAATATATTAATGAATTCCATTCACAAATGGAAGGTTTACTATATACATTAATTCACATTAATTACTATGAGGTGATATTTAATAGGTGGAAATTAAATAAAAATGAAAAAAAAATATAAAAATGACAAGTGGAAAAAAAATTTAATTTTAAGAAAATGATATGTGTCAAATTCAATAAGTAGTTGACATTTAGCAAAATTATCTTTATTTATTAGGGTAGATGAGAAGGCAAACGGGCAACAAGTTGCGCCGCTAAGCCCTTTTGTATGGTAAAACCAATTCTTTTAAAGACTACATCCATAGATTTAGGGGATATAACATTGATATGTATGATCCGTTGTAGTCTACAAAGAAGTTTCACCGCATCCGACGCAATGAAACCAAACGTATCAAATGCAAATGGTATGAACGCTTGTTGATTTTCCATGTACGGTTTCTCATGTTTGGTGACATTGCATATAGCAGCTTTTAATGCAGCCTATCTCGCTGTGAAACCCCCGAACCTTAGGCTTACAAGAGTGGATACCTCTGTAAGGTCCATACATGCATGTTTCCCTCCAACCCATCCAAAAATCAAAATGTCAGTCAGCCTAAAGGTTGGCCTTCCATCTGTCGGGTCAGTCAGGAAATTCACACGAGCCTCTTTCTTGGCGGAAACACCGACACACTTAAAATACTAGTTTTAAAAAGTTTTTTAATAGGTTATTGTCACTGTAACCCAACAAACTTTAGTATATTAGTTTAAATGGTCCCTCGTGACTATTTTTTGCATTTAAAGGGCACAAACTTGTATTTTTAGGTTTTAAAAGGTCCGTTTAGAAATTTTGAAGGGCTCAAATGGTGACACCCATCCTAATCAGTTGTTTGTCAATGTCACGTAATTGCTATGTAGATAAAACAATTCCAACTCATTTGCCACGTTAGTGTGAGTAAAAGACCTAATAAACGTTTTGATCTTATTTCTCAACTGTCCCTTTTGTCGTCTTTCTTCTGCTACTTTTTTCTCCTTATCCTTTGTGCAACTGTTGTAACGCCCGTAGATCCGGGATAGTCAATTTAGAGATAATAGGGGTCGAAAACAACTTTCGACAAAAGATCATTTAGAATAAATAATCTTAACCAAGTTGTAGAATATGTCTCAATGGTTCCGTACATATAAAGAGCACCGAAATCCAAGTTATAACAAATAAGTTATGACCCGTTGAAGTTTCGCGATGGAACCGACACGACACCGGGAAGACGTAAATAGTGAGTTTATGATAGAGTGACTTTTAGCCTTAGTAATCTAAATAAAAGTCATAGAATATGTTAACCTGAGAGCATCCATAAAAAGAGCACCCAAATCTGACATCGTATGAGGAAGTTATGATTTTTCGAAGTTTCAGCTTAGCAGTGTACGACCCAAAACTCGAATTTTAGTTCGAGCGGTTTTTAGCCTACGCGACCTAAATGAGAGTTGAAGATCTCATTAATAGGAACTTAACGATAAAAAGAAAGACGAAAACGGAGTCTGTATGAAGGAGTTACGAATTTTTCGCGGTCATTTAACAGTCTAATATCCTCCTACTATTAAATTTAAGATCGGTCGATAAGTAGCCGACGGAATAAAATGAAAGTTGTAGATCTTATTTTTACCTACGCGTGGATATAAAGAACGTTGAAAACAAAGCTCGTATGCAAAGGTTATGAATTTTTGAAAATCGGATGATTTCCACCCTA